TAAATGCTTCAACCACAAATAGTCCTCCTCAGGTGGTGAGGAGAATACAGATGAGGCAGGATGAGCTGACATCTGTAAACCGGATAGTGATAATGTTATATTTTATATCATAGATTTATGCTTTTGACCCCAAAATCATGAATCTGTAATTATAGCACAGCATAGACATAACATCTACATGTATGCTACCTGAATGCATGCATTGTACACGTATCATTCTGTAGACGTGCACTTCTTCAGTTGAACTCAACATCCCGGAAGATGAATGGCCAATCTTTACAGTCCTGTTAGCGCTCTCCAGCTGGGTTCATAGATCTGGGGTTACAACATGTAACCATCCATCTGTCAACACTGTGGCAGAAATAGTGTGTGTTCGCCCAGGGTGGATTATTGTGTCTGTCATTCACCAGGACAGGGTAGACAAGAAGACTGGTGATACAATAAACAACAGGCAACCGTTCAGGATATCTCCTGTTGTTTACTCATTGAGTTACACTAGGGTTGCAGTACAGCAATTATCCCTCTTATTTTGAAATTCCATAATCAAAGTTTTCTGTCTTCTGCTGTTTGTCAAACACAGTAAGTTCTGTACCCTGCGATTTTTTAGTATTTCTGACAGTCCAATAAAGTGGCGATGTTAGCCTGGAGACACAGACTAAGCTCCAAACACTTGTTTTTCTTTTGTCAAGCTGTATACTTCTGTTTTGAATCCCATTATTGTCCTCTCAGTCTCTTTATAGCCCTTTAGTGATAAAACTGATCTCAGGCTATTTACAACCACTTCAGGGATAAAATCACTATGTGATCAATTGGGTTAATCGAATTAGTCAGTTATGACTTGAAGCTCTTACACTTTAGTGCTTTTTTGTATTGCAAAGAATAGCCAGCTGTGACGAACATCTGCTCAGTGACCGACTCACTGGTAATTAAATCAGTTCACTGAGCACCAAGTTAGACATTCACCATCACATTAACCTCAGGCTGTAGTCTGAGGCTCACTGTTTGCGGATAATAATTTTGGATTTTATTATGAGATAGAAGATTTAGATTGAAGTGGAGTGATGAAGCTTAATGGTGAGGGGGGGGAGGGGGGGCTGTGTGTCTGGGCCCATCCTTTTCACTCCATCTACAACAAATATCATTTGCCAACAGCCACACCGGTAAAAAATTCCAGCCGAAATTGTGGCTACTTGGGTTTATGCTTTAAAAATAGAAAACACTACTCCCATGTGAGATTTTAATTTTATCCAGACATTTTGATGAATTATGGCAGTCGGTGACAGTGGTTACTGGTTGTTCTATGTAATAATGCACCACATTTGATTTAGATTTTAAGCTGCCAAAAGGATGAAATGGTGATGAAAGGCTCTGCTTTGATAATGCACTGGAAAGTACATACAGTACTTCCCGCATATTTTAGGGTTCGCTGCCAATCAGTTTTTTTTTCTTGTTTTTCCTGCCAGTATGGGTGCATATTTGCTCAAATTATGCTGACATACTTTAATTCCATCATGATCAAAACCTTGTTCAAATAGTTTCTTCCAAATAGAAAAAAAAAAATCTTATCCTAACCATCTTATGATAGGCCATTTAAGCACTGTGTAATGGTATGGTGTATGGTAACTGATATACAGTTTGTGTGAACTCTGGACACAATAGCCCGGGGTCATGAGGATTTCTGCGCAGATGACTGGAGAGATAACTGACTTTGGAGCAAGCCGCAGCTGCGGTTTTGTCAGGAATTAGGAGAGAACTGAATGCCGTAAAGAGCCGTTGGATGGGAAGTTTTGTTATATGTTGCAGAACAGTATGGCACACACACAAAATGTGTAAAAACCTTGTTCAACTAAACCATACACTTATGATAAATCCTGCAAGAATTTCCATGTCTGAAATCATTTGTATGGAGTATGAATGAAGTGACCTTCTACTACAAAACAAAACAAAAAACTTGGTTGAATTGGGTTTTCCTTATACAACATTCAAGCAGGGCCAGTAGGGTTATAATAATTTGTATTGTCTTCTCAGTTAATTTTACCCCCAAATATATCTATACCCCTTAAAATAGCTTTATATAGTTGTAACTGGAGTCCGTAACAGGATCCGACATGAAGCTATTTGTCCCTCGCAGAAAACAGTAAAAATGGAGCTAAAGTGATGTTCAATGAAAGTGAAAATGACTACGATGAAAGACCTCACTGACATCCAGAGTGATTCAGTGGGGAACACGTCCTCTGATTGAGAGAATATCCTCTCAAGATTATCAGTGTGTCAGAGGCAAATTAACATGTTTTATGTATGAAATATGGCACCATTATCTTTCCCCCTTTTGTATTTGAGAAAGACAGGATGAAGAAGGATCTTGTCTGATCCCGCTGGAGATTTGTTTTTCCCATATGTAGGCAGAGAAGGGAAATTCAGACCTGTCATGTACATGCTCAAGACTGTATTTTGTGTAGTTGAAAAATCGTATGATGCATAGCTTGAATGATGACTGATTGCACTGTATTATATGGTTTTAAAATCAGTTCTTTGTGATTTATATTTTTTTTTTGTGGGACAGTGGTATTATTTTCATTTTTTGGATGATGGATACGAAGAACTCTGTATATCTTTTTCTGACATTCTCACTGTTCTGCACAGTCACAATGTTGGAGTCATAAACCTATCATTAGTCATCATTAATCCCCAGGTCTCTCTTTAAACTGGCTGCTCTGCAGTCTATCCTGGAGGCATTACACTGCCCATAACTACCCTTGGCTTTTAGGTTTTGACAGAAATTATGACCTTAATAAAGTCGACTTTGCAATATTTGCATGCATAAGCATCTGATACAAAAAGACTGTCTGGCTCTGTTTTAGAGCTCCCCTGGGCTGGCTCTTGGCAGGCAGTCGATGTCCTCATGACTTAACGGCGTGTCAAAGTGACTCAAAAATGCTTTAAGAAGAAGTGCAGCAGGCCAGTTCAGAAGAGCTACTTGTCATTTACCATCTTAATGTAAAATAACAGCATAACACATTATGTAGCGTGAGATTGCTCCTCTTGCTCCTAGTGGAGTTTCTGCATTCATTACTTTAAAAATTTGTCAACACCTCTGTGAGTTGCACCACCTGCAGGTAAATATCTATAGGTCAGAATCTGCCAGTTAGCTGGTAGAATAATTTAGCCAGGTATATCTTGCAGTTTTACCTCCTTTATGTATCGCAAATAAACGATACATGAAACTCAAACTGACTGAAACTGCCTGCATGCTCCACTTAGTCAGTTTACATTTAAGACACAGTATCATCTCTGTTTGTCTTTCATGGCAGACGTCAAACTACATCGCAAGCCGTCATAAAGATGAAGTGATGATGTGTTGTTTTCAGGCTTCTGGCTCTGTTTATTTCTTGGCGAATGGACAAAAAAACAAACATGCTGCACTGTAACTTAATTCTCATGATAAATCCTTCAGCGGGATAAGTGTAGCTGAATGGGGCTGGTGTTTATCCAGTAGTCCTTCTCATCGTAACACTGTTGATAAATGTCACAGTCTCAAAACAAGGAATGCTGGTCTGTATGATCTCCAAGAATTGTTGTTTATGGCCCCCTGTTGGATAACAAGGAAATGGTGGCTGCTCTGATATTTCATACTTACTGTATGTGCAGACGTATATTAATTATGTGTTAACATGAACATTGTATTTTTTCTTTTCTGTCTTTCTTTTTTTTTTTTTTTTAAAGATTATTTCAGTGTCATTTTTTTTGGAGAAATGGAACTAAATTATCATCAATACCATCAATATATATATTGCATGATATCCATATGATCTTCTTTACATGTGTGAATCAAAGTTATGCAGTTATGGTGACAGAAAACTACAGTTATATAAAGCCTAAAGTTTAAATACAACATATCCGATGATATATATTAATGAAATTGGTTCCAAAATTAATGTTAAAAGGCCAGAGGAGATTGCAAAACCAATTGTCTGTGCCTGAAATACCAGTAATCAAAATATGTGAGTTTGTACACATCCCATCATCTTCTGTCTGTTTTCACCTGTGCTTTATAACATTATTGGGATTTATGCATTCTCATATTTAAAAGTCTATCATGCCATGCTCTTTCTAGGAATTACTTAAACAGTTTTAGATTTGCCTTATTAAATTAATTAAATACAGCTCTGTATTTTCAGACGCTGTTTAGCTTTTTTATTAAAAGAGAAGTGTGGAACTTGTGCCTGCCCACACACAGTCACGGACAGGTGCTACGGGTCATTAGGAGGCAGCTGTGTTTGTCTTAAAGTCTGGCATGAAACATTGACATTTTAAAGTGTCTATTTGGAGTGGTTTTACTTTATGTTCTGTTTGTGTTATAGTAAAGTTTTCTCTCCAGGATGAAGGCCCACTGGACAAAGAACAATATTTATTAAATCCCATGAAATGAGGGATTAAATGTGAATTTGCAAACCATATTAGTTGTTTAACAGCAATACTTACTCAAGTCCAGCGCAGGTTTTTCATCTCTCAGTGAGAATTTGAGGGGTGGGGCCTGTAATGCCCGCTGGCAGTTCTGGGGTTTGGATGCAAATATCACGGCTTTGTGACTCTACTTGCCTGAGTTGGATGCAGTTCGACGCTCCAAAGTGGATTTAAAAAGCGCAACTCGCAGGAGCTTCAGTGCAAACACGCTTCCTCACTAAAGGAGACGAGAAAAAGTCACACTGACTTATTTCATCGGGATATATATAAATACTTTTTCATGCATATAATCTTTTATTGGACATTTTTTTGCCAATCCATTGCATAGTTCTTGTCTTGTGCATCCTCTCCACAGTCTGCTAGGGAGTTGCCTCGGTACAGTGACAGATGTGAAAGAGATGAAATCATATGTCTTTTTAAATGATGACAGAGAAAAGTTGCATGGGGGTATCCTGTAGGAGGAGTTTTTTTGTGACCAAACAAGTAACGGATTTTCCCTTATAAAAAAGGAAATTGAGCCCCGACCGCTCAATGAACAGCATTATTCGGAGACCCAGATGTACAGGTGGGTTGATTTTTTTCTTAAATTGTATGATTTTGGATAAACTGATGTACTATTCTTATGAATAGGGGTTGAACGTTATTGTTAGGATCAGTAAATTCGACTAAGTCAAACTGATTTAATTGTGCCCTAAATAAATACGAATTTTGATATGGTAATATCTCCATTATTAGTATTGTTATTGTTATTATTATTATTTTCATTATTATCATTATTATTATTATTGTACTTTGTTTTTTATTATATATTATTATATATTATTATTATATTTGTATTGGGACGATAGTTATTCATTTTATTTGCAATCTATTTAAACTTTGAAACATTTGAATTTTAGACTAACTCTGACTGCCCCATTTTTAACCATCATGATGAGGGTAACTTTGTCCTGAAATACATTTTAAAAACTTGCCCAATATTTAACCAAATGAGCGTAACACACTGAGAATTCATTTTGGCTGAATCATATTTTGACAGTTCTTTATACTGGCTAAACTGAATTTAGACTGGGGTAGAGTTTACACACTGCTTTTTCACTCCCTAGGATTACATTCTACAACACACACACACACACACACACACACACACACACACACACATGCACACACATTACACTCGCTCCTTGTCATCCTCTGGAGCTGCATAAAATGTCAGCCTCCCCAGCTTCAAAGTGAAGGGGCATGCAGGGAGGGATTTAGAAAAACAACAGGACAGTGATGTGACAGCAGAGTTGCTGGACTGGGGACAGGTGGGGGATCTGCACTTGATTTTCCTTCTCCCTGAAGAGCAGCGCAGTGCAAACAGCTGTAATCCACTATGGTGTGCGAGCCTCGAGGCAAAGCTGATCTGTGCTCAACCGAGCTGTACAGGATCAACCCTCTGACTGCTGGAGCTGTGCAAGGCTTCAGTGCTACATGGCAACTTAAAAAGAGAGATTCTGGTGGTGGTTTGACTGGAGGATGCGGTCAGTGCTGCTGCTTCTCTGTTCTGTGTGTTGAGTATGTTTCAGCTGCTGCACATTTGACCTCACTCCCTCGACTCTTTAACAGCAGAGGAAGTGATTACTAAAATGATTGAGGCTTCTGGGGGGTGCTGGGGGTGCAGCCAGGTGTCTCTCCACACTCAGTGGAGCTAGCAGAGGTGGAAGGGCCACTTATCATCTACAGATTTAGATTAATAGGTGTTGAGAGCATGGGTGCGTGCATAAGGATGATGATGACTCTGGCTGTATTTTTCTTATGATAGCCTCAGTCAACACCCCATTTCCCTATTTCCTTTTTTTTTCCTGTTACATCATCTCTTAATGTTCTTCGTTTCTTTCTGTTTTTCATTGTGGTCTAGATTGGCTAGCACCAACAGAGCTTATGGCTTGGATGTACAAATCAGGGGTTTTACAAATATCAAAGTAAATTGAACATGAATGTGCACTATGACTGGGTGAAATCACCCACAAATTCGCATCGCTTTGTTCTCTGCACACACCAGCGGCCCAATTTCGGGAGCAAAATGTGCTCATTTAAAAAGCGGAGTTTACTGCTAATTCTGCTCTTGGTGTCCACTAAAAAATAATTTCACTTTAAAAGCGAAGGTTTTGAGGTTAGTGTGGGGCCACGGAACAGGAAAATATTGACTCCGGTATTTTGGTAATTCCCCCAAAAACATCATGACTTAAAAACTAACAACTCCTTTTTTTAACCTATATGTGCCATCTGTGCCCCAGACTTGTTGTACGTTGCAAATACCACTATTACCTTCCTCCCATAACCCTCTCCGTAAGTTTGTGTGCAACTGAGGCATTTCGGCAAAAGGTATACATGTTGATCCCACAGGCAGAAAGTTCATTGACAGGTTGTATTTGTAACTCTGACCTCAGAGTTCTGGCACCTTCTAGAGTTCAATAAATTCCCAGTGTGGGAGCTCCCTTTCAGTGCTTGAATAATTGATGGATCAAACTTAAGACTTACAAAGGAGGCAATTTAATCTCCTTACTATTTGATGAGCGGGGCTTAGTTTCATTGGGCTCAGGTGAATGTGGCTGATGGTGAGGAAAGGCACACAGTTAAATGGATGAGGGAGCACAGACAGAGAGTTTTCAAAACATACAGGTGCCACAGTTGCCTGATGAGATGAGTGTTTGAGAAATGGCATGTTTTAAATTAAAAAAAAAAAAAAAAGAAAAGAAAAAGTGCCTTGCAATGTAGATGGACTAAAAGTACAACAGTCAGTTTTCTCCATGAGTTAACAGCCTGATCCTGACTCTTATCTCCACGGCGTGTGAGAGCAGATATGGATGGGCTGAGGTGGGCTTTTTGGCAGGTTGCACAGTCGTGGGAGTGCTGGGTTATGAAAGAATCTCTGGCACATGTCTTGAGTTACTCAGAGCTGGAAAGGTTGTGTTCTGACAGATCCAGAGACTTAACATGTCCCATTCTCCAGTCATCACTCTCTCAAGTAACAAACAGGTGCTGCTGAATACTGGCTGCGCCACTCTTTTGGCTCTTTCCCGTAAATACGACTTTAGCTGAGAGGTGTCAGTGACATTGTGAGTCATTAAGTGTTAAGAAGTAAATAAACATACTGGTGGGGAAGTGAGTCTGAAGTGTTTCCCAATTAGGAGAGGCTACAAGTACCCCTCTCCTCTGTTAGGACCTCAGTGTAATTTAACAAAGTTCAAGTTAATGTTATGAAATTGCTGACAAATGAAAAAAATGACCTTCCTTTTTTTAAACGTTAGTCTTCAGGGTGGACAAATCCTACATGGTTGTGTGCATGTATGTGCGTTTGTATCATTTTCCTGACTCATTCCACGCCAACAGACTACAACGGACACTCCCATTTACCAATGGCTCTACTAAACTTCATTTAGCTCATTTAAAATATATTGTTTCAAAAGAATGGGACATTTATATACTTATATACTATACTTTCCTCAATTTCCATCCTCAAATAGGGTATAAATGTTGCTTCTCTCAAGACAAGCTTCTAGTTATCATCATTCCTGGAAATCTATCTGGATTTTTTTTTAATACCCATTTGCAGAAGTTAGGGGAAAAAAAGCAAAATTGATGTAATTTTTTATTATTTTAAAGATTGTGTTTCGTTCCTGGCGCCAAGCATTTTGTAACTCTGATATTGTTTTGTCTCTTTTGATTTATACTTTAACAAAGAATGTAATGTTGCCTGCTGGAATGTTTAGACGCACCAAATGGCATTGTCCTTAGTGTGATTCAGAGCCACAACCGACTCAACGGCCAAATATGGTCCTATTTTTCTTTATTGAGCTGCGAGGGAGGACCTCCCATTGCTCTGATCCTAACATGTTCTGTGTATCCTCTTCACACAAGAGCTGTAAATACAGGCAGCGTATGACACTATCTAAAAAAGATCTCAGCACCAAATATGACAAAGGCCCTCAGTCCAAGTGTGCATTGCGTTTCCCAGGGAGAGTTGACTGCACTGTATTTTAAAAAGGATAGACAATTCATCATCCAAGTCCAAATACAGCTTGAAATGCCATGACCCAAAAGTGTTTGTGGTTTTTAGTTTCCTTGTTCCATGACTGACTATTTGAATGAACCACTCATGAGTTTATAGCTCTTCAGATTACAGATATTTCTGATGTTAAGGTGAAAAATTATGTATTATACTTGAATGACTGCCATATAGGCCAAGCAAATATAGCCTAGTTACAATAGACTAGAATTTGATGGGGCTGGTTTGAGTATGTTAATTCATTGATAGCACATGGATGTTATTCTATTACCTCCTGAAAAACATATCAAAGGAAAAGTTCTACATTTTGGGAAACGCAGTTATTTGCTTCCTTGATGATGATGAGAGGAGCAGATCCATACCTCCCTCGTATCTGTGTAGTTTGTATAAAGACTGAAAACAGGGGGGAAAAGCCTGGCGCAGTCAAGCAGAACTCGTCCACCGACACCTTTGAAGGTAAATTCATGCAAAAACCAAAAGGTAAAAACTACTAGTTGCAATTTTACAAAGGATTATACACAGGACTATTTCTTGGTTGGGAGTTACTTGTCATTCTAACACCTCAGTTTAGTAGGGATTAAACAACATGTTAATTAGTGAGCTTTGAGGTGCTGGCAGCCATTTAATTTTTATCTTCATGCAGTAATTTGATTAATTAGTTAGAAATTTGTTCTAATAAAAAGTAGTATGACGGTTCCACCATCCTCATCTCATGGCCCCAGACTCGTAGATGGACCCTGTGCCAAAATCTAGACCTAAATTATTTTACTTTATATTCTGCTCCTTTTTTTTTTAACTTGTGTTTTATCAAACTGCTTTCATTTTTTTCTGTGTAAAGTCATTAACACACAGAAAACCTGGTAGTAGGTGAACTGTAATACTGCAAACACCAATTATTTTCATTGTTAATAATTCTGACAATTATTTTCTTTATTAATCAATTAATTGTTTAGTCTATAAAATGTCAGTGAATAGTTTAAAAAAATATGTCCATCATTATTCCCTGAAGCTGTAGTAAACATATTCCAATTGCTTTTTTGGTTTTCGTTTTTTTCGTCTGACAACAGTCAATAAAAAACTACAAAAACAATATTCACATTTGAGAAACTGGCACCACTGGTACCTTTTTTTTTTGCACTTTTGCTTTAAAATTACTTAAGCAATTAATCAGTTATCAAAATTGTTGCCAATTATGTTCTCTCAAACAAGTAATCGATTGATCACCTAATCATTTCAGCTCTAGAGTACTGTTTTGTTTATGGGTGAATAATAGTGAAAGTGCCATGGTAAGTGTAGTGTGGGTCAGTAGGGGTCCCAGAAGCTTAATCCAGTTTTGGCCATGACAGAGGTGCTTCTCATCTAACTCTCAGCAAGATAGCAAAGAAGTGTACAAAAATATCAAACTATTCCTTTAATGTTAGTTTATCTGTACCCGTAACATTTCCTTTCCCTAAATCTGTTCCCCATCTTTCTGTCTTGTCTGCCTCCTTTTTTCCTCAGCAGGTCCTGGTGCAAGCAGATGTGTTGCCACACATAGTCCAGAACCAGTATTTGTCTTTCCTCAGTCTGCAAGCTCTTATTTTAGTGCATCCTTAGAGCATCTTTAATAAGACACACGCTTGTGAGCTCAAGCTCTTACTGACAGCAAACACTCCACTGACAGCGGGTTCCCTGCTTTCCTGCCAGCCCACCCCAAGCTTCATGGGTTGAACCACCAGAAGTTCGACACTCTCCTCTCCACTCTCTCCTCCTCTTCATCCTCTGCACAACCCCTCAACCCCCCCTACAGCCCTGCTCTGTCTACTCCCTTTGCCAGTACTGCCACCAGTGTGATGGCTTGTTGTGCCTCGGGCTTGTTTGGACTTGCAACCGCAGCATCACCCTCCACTACACAGACTTGCGGACGCAGCAGCCACTAGAGTGAAGGATACAGAGAGACAGAGGAGGGGTGGGGGGGAAAGGGAGAGACAGACAGAGAAAGAGAGCAGCACCACAGTAAAGAGGAGGGATCATCTGTCCCAGCAGCAGAGGGATCCACCTGTCCCACAGAGGAAGGGGGCCCCCCCACCTGATCCATCTGGTTGCAGGGGGGGACCCTGCGTGGCCGGGAAGGCAACAGGGACTATGCAGCTGGGACTGGTGGCGCTGGCAATGGTCTTCCTCAGCTCCATGGGTCATAGCGATGCTCTCAAGCTCTCCAAGGCGAGAAGGCAGAGACGGGGTGAGTTCTCTCTCTCTCTCTCAGTTTGTTTTGATCTCGCTTTTCTTCCACTTCAGCACTGCTGCCTTTTGTTACTGTGGTCTGAGTCACAGTGGTGGATGTCTTATAAACATTTAACAAGCAAAGCAAAGATAACATTTTGTTTATTTTCTCATCATTCTTATTTGTTTTTCCTGGGCGGGTTATGTTAGGTTCAGTGTTTCTCCTGAATGGCTCGTCTTTCTTCCTCTTTTTAAGATTATGCCTCTCTCGGTTTATGTAAAACTTTTATGGGTATTAGGATTGTTTATAGAGGGGGTTTTGATGTATTCACCCTCAAAGCCATCGGTCTTTTTGTGTCTGGCTCTGTGGGCACATAATGGAAGGAGTACCTGACAGTTCTAAGCTCTCAATTGGACCGTGCCGCCGCTGTTGTTGTAAGCATTTTTCTGACCTCACGCAACCAAAGATGGTGCTCGGGCCGACTCGCAGTATATCTCTGGCCTCAGAGCCTCAATGCTGGTCTTACTGTCAGCTTTGAAATAATTCTTCCTTTACACACAAGGAGCTTTCAGCCAATGCCAAGCTCACCCCAACCTCTGTGAACCAGAATTCATATAATACCATGACTGGCCACAGAAACAGATGTGGTGTTATTAAAATCACACATACTAGGAAGGAAGGAACTGTTGTTTGTGTCACAGATAAAGGATATTTTTTACAGTATAGGCCTACATACTCACATATATAGGTATAACAATCTTTAAGTTTGACTCTTATGAGGATAGAAGGATTTGGGTCACTCACTGTATACATGAGCACGTGTCATTTTAAGTTCTACCCCCTCCAGATATGGAAGAGGTTTGCAGTTTACACGTCTGTTTTACAGCTTTCGCGTCTTTAATATCATCAGACTGTGTGTTTTCTTCGACCACCCCCTTTGGCAGGCAAAGAGCTGACGACAGTGGTGCTTGTTTTTTTCCCCCGTGGGCTTTCTGTGTTCCCTCTCTGAATGAATTCAGTGTCATGCAGGGATCAAACTGAAACCATCAGAGAGGAGAGTAGCACATATTGCTCCTCATGCTCCAGGCAGCACAAACTGTCTCTTTTTTTTCAATCCACCATGTGTCACAAACAGTTTACAACACCACATTCTCAGACACACACACTCTTTACTTCCCAGGGCCGTTGTATTACTTTAATCATTATTAGTGATAGCGAGCAATAAGACCTGGCTGTAATGATTGCATTTGAGGATACCGCGATCCAGGCATGCTGTGATCCGTTCATGGGAGAACCCTTTTAACGTTTTTACCATCCAAGTTATCTCTGGGAGGCAGGGCGGCAGATGGATGGCTGTGTGAGAGTATGTATATTTAGAGCTGATGATTTACAGTGCCGAACTGTAAATCAACTCCAACGACTGTGTTTTTGTCTCTGAATGACTCCTAGAACAAGGATGTGCACTTTGACTCACTTTTCCTAGAAATGATTCAGATTACTGGTTGTGTGCACCGCGGCTTCGCTTTTTTGGAAGATGAAGGAATTGGATTAATGTCTGAGCCTGGGATTACAAGGAGGTGAAGTGTAAATGCATCTGCAGTGCATTTTCAGACTTAGGACAGGGGGATACTTGCTGGTTGGTACCACCATAGAAAAACACTGGCCTTGCACATTCGGTATTCGTCTCTTGGTCATGTCCGTCACTACTGCACTTTTCCAATGCCAAAGATCATTTCTGACTGATCTCAGCGGAGGCTCTATGTGATGTGAGTTGCCTGATTTTGACTGGCTCTTGCTTGACTGTCAGCCCCAATTACCCGGGGTTCTCCAAATGAAAATCTGTTAAGGATCTCCGGCAAGCAGTTTGAAGTAAACAGTGAGTAACTGTTCAAACAAAGATGTTTGGCCTGGCCCCCGGTTAGATTAAGCTGCAAGCATTAAGCCCTGCTTGTTGGAGTGATAAAGTGCTGGCAGGTTTATGGCTGGATCAGCGGACATGCCAGCATAATATTACAGTTGCCTGATGTTGTTCTCATACGCAGAATATTGACAAATGCCCTTTTTATTTCCTCATTAAAATTCATATCTGGCTGCAAACTGTTTATGTTTTTTTCTGTAATGATACACTGTGCTGTTCTGTTGCTTACTGTTACTTTCTTTCTGTTTACCTTGTGTTTCTCCAGTTAGTACTGAGGGGCCACCATCTTGCCCCAAAGGCTGTGACCGATGCTCTGAGTATAACGGCTGCATTAAATGTAAGCCCAAGCTCTTCATCTTCCTGGAGCGCAATGACATCCGTCAGATAGGCGTGTGCCTCGCCTCCTGCCCCATGGGATACTTTGGGATGAGGAACCCAGAAGGCAACAACAGATGCACCCGTGAGTTCTGATTTGTGTTGTAGACTCTTTACCTTGGGACACTGCAGGTGTCAGGGGTACATCAACAGGATGTGTAAGTGGGCACGTTAGATTTGTAAATACACATCTGGAATCTTCCAAATACACGCAGGCTGGAGCTAACCGGTTGGCAAGAGCTCGCTCTCACTCTGTAAAAATCAGGGGGATACCCTGTTAGTTTTTTGTCTTGTGTATTTTCACTTTGTGTTGCTACGCTTTGTGTGTTTAACAATGATCTAAGATATTAATGCAGAAAATAGGGATCCCACCTTATGAATGGATCAATGTTCTCTATTTGCCATACCCTGCTGTCTCGTCTTTTTTGAACCAATGTGTGCTACTATTTTTCATGTTTGTGAGTGAATGAGTACACTACCCTCTTATTACTGAATGCCCGCTAACAAGATGCAACTGGCCACTAATAAGTAAATGAGTGTCCACTTCATGAAATCCGTCTGCTGTTCTGTCCCTGTGGAAGAGAGCACGCAAATAGCTAGCAAATTCAGCAAAATAGGTCTTCTTTATGGTTATTGGGCAGGTTTGGCTCATTTGAAGGGTGGGTGAAAGGGTGGCCACACTCACGGTACTTACCAAACTCACTTAGCTGGGTCCTGTACTTTTAGCTGGGGAGTGCCAGCACCTCAGTCTGTTGTCTGTTTCCCCTTATGTGTGGGCAGAAAACAGGATTGCAACAAAATCCCAACAAAAACATTTCTAATGCATTGTTGTTTGTCTGTTTTTGAGAGGATGTCTGTGTTTTTTATTTGGCCCTCATGTGCAGGGTTCATGCCAGGCCACAATCCATGTTTGTTATGCTTTCGCTTTTACACATATTTTATTCTGGTACGCCATTACTGCATCCTATACTGTCGGTATATTTGAATGTGTGTGGGTATAAAAATCATTTCTAATCAATCTTTGCACTGTTAAATGCTGAGTTTGTTACCTTGTGTTTAATGACACACTGTTACATTCACTGCTTCAAGATAGTCATGCAGTAGATGTAGATATTTGGTGGGCAACTACAGTGCCCACCAGCCTGTAGTGATTTTCTGCTAGAGGAAGAAAAATGCAGCTTATACTTATCTGTCAAGATATTTTGCTTGACTGCAGATTCCTACATCTCCTAATGTCTGTCAGATGTGATAAATTGTGTTTCCTGTAACATTTACACAACCCCAAAGCATATACAACTCAGGAGCTGTCATTTTTTGCTATATGTGCCACATTATAATGATGGTACTATGCTTTTTTTTTTTTTGTCTGAGTTGCCTGTGTTTTACAGCCTTTACACTCAGACGTCCACAACAGAATCTGTATCTTATTCTTAAACTGACAGCATATTTTATTTTCCCTGTTAAGTTTGTTGCATCAGTGCAAATGACACAATTAGAATTATTTATGAGATTCTTGCAATTCTATCAAAATACTGGATCATATGCAATAAATCAACCACATGTGTTTTTGTTATTTCAATGCAGCATTATTTCACTGTCCTGAAAGGGCTGAATTTCCTCAGCAAATTCCTTTCAGAGGCCCTCAGTGGCTAACCTGGGTTATTATCCAATCATCTGACTTTATACATGTCATCCCAGAATGTCTTGTTAGCAACATTTGTCTTACATTATAGGGCTACAAACGTCAGTACTGTCAAATTTAGCTGTCAGGGGCTTAAAAATAGTAATTGGGAGCAGGAGGCAAGGACTTTAAGATCCCAATGAGGGATTCAGTGTTAGATCATTTCTGACCTTGGCATCAGACCAGCTGCAGAGTAGACATTCTTGACTTCAGCACTCATGAACACGATGCGTCTAGATCTCAATAAGTTTCCCATACAAAAACACTGGCACATGGAAATTTACAGATTTTCATCTTTCTCCTCTGTTTTCATCCGAGGAAGGTTAATTCAGATGGAGTGAATGACGCGAATAAGGAAGTGCCTTTCATGATGAGACCAAAGCTTTTTGGGAATCTTTTAACGTGTCTGTTTTTTATCCTTCTGTGTCTGTAATTATCCAAAATTTCAAGAAGTTCTTTGTTTGACTGGAGAGTCAGGGAGTTTAATGAGTCTGAGGTGTGGAGAAGCCCACTCTTGAGAAACCAAGTGAAGCGTTACACTCCTGGCTGTACTCATTCACACCCTCCTTCCAAAAAAACAAGGCCTGTGGTGCATGTGTTTTTAAGAGAAGAGTGTTACTCCCCTTAAATAGACCCCGTGTTGTTTAACCACCAATTAATCTCTCAGAGGGAATAAAATTCAAGTTATTCTTGTCCTCTCTCTGGAGAATGATTTCCTCTTTTTTTGAGCCAAGATACAATGAAATCTTCATTAAAAGACTAGAGATTTCTGTGTATCCACAACTTTTCCTGAACAAGACAGAAAAAATTGAACACAGTGGCACGAAATCATACTTCACCAGAATCTACATGACTTTCACATCCTTTCATTTGACCCTGTGTTTTTTGTCTCCCCTGTGTCTTTCAGAATGTAAAATAGACAACTGTGAAGCATGTTTCAATCGCAATTTTTGCACAAAATGTAAGGAGGGCTTGTATTCACACAGCGGGCGATGTTATGTAAGCTGCCCTCCAGGCCAGCGCACCTCCAACGAGACCATGGAGTGTGTCGGTGAGTGATCTTTGACCTCCCACTGTTTGCCAGCTTCAAGACATAAACATGGCATCTTACAAAAGTTACCTGCTGTAGTATACATGCTATACATCATCTGAGAAGCCAGCTATGTTCAGTTGTCTGGCCTGGAAAAAGGGAAGTGAATACTTGAGAAAAATAACAGAATCTCTTTCCCTTCTGTGGTTTTATCTGTTGAAAACGATTCTGTCATAAGTTAGAAACGACGCCATTAACAGTGAAACTCGGAGCTCTCCAGGCATCTTGGCTCAGTGCTGCAAAGACCTGGAGCTCTGGATTGACTTTTTGGCATCACGTGCTGTTAACTTGACCCCGCTGATCCATAGAGAATATAAACGGGATCTTAAAAACTAGCTATTGTGTTGAGGCACAGGATACTGATATTTTCTGGTTCATAGCAACCGTCTCAATCTGTCGAAAGAATCTGTCAAAAAAAAAAAAAAAGGCTTGCTTTCAGATGTGGAAATTACCTAAAGTCATTATCCTGTGCTAAAACTACTGAGCTGTAAAAATGCAGGCAGGAAAGCTGCAAAACAAATGTGAGATGTTGGAGCTGTGAACCATTCACTCACTACCTTAGTCTTTGTGCCATGTTTTCCCCCCAGGTCAGGGTGCTTCAGAGTGCGAACTGGGTGAGTGGAGCCAATGGGGTTCCTGTATGAAGAAGAACAAAACGTGTGGATTTAAGAAAGGCTCGCAGTCTCGGGTCCGTTCACCCCTTCCACAGGTCCACAGCCCAGACACCTCCCCAGCCTCTGTGCCCTCGCAGAACTGTGCTCCACAGACAGAGAGAAGGAAGTGCGTTGTGAACAAGATGCCCTGTACGAGAGGTAAACACGAATACGGGAAAGTACAGAAAAACCAATGCACAACAAGGGAGAGATGTCAGATAATGGGGACTACTAATTCAAATAGCGATAATCAAACGACACTTCTCAGATTACAGATAAATAAGCAGGAAAGTCCATGTGATTCATGAAATGCCTCCACCAGTTAATATGATGGAACCATTACTCAACAGCTAAAAGCCTGCATTCCCGCCAGTGTGTTTGTGACCCACAGCGTGTTGATTGGGTTTTGTTTGGCTGAGCTCACAGAAGGATACAGAATCTCTTGACTTCTCAGCGTGTAAACAATAAACCCCAATCTATGAGCCAAGCAGATGAAGGGCGGGCATTATGCACTGCAAAGCTGGAAGAGGATCAGAGCAAGAAAAGAGCTATTTGTTCTGAGGACCGTTGAAGCGTGAGGTTTACATGGCCATGACATGTTTGCTTGGGTTCTTATCACCCACACAGCAGCTTGCTCTCCAGCAGGTTAACAGTCATTCTCACCAGTCAATGGCCATTATCGGCTTTCATAACAGCTTATTAGTCGCTCTTGGCCTCTTTTGCAGATAGCGCCAATAAATGATGGATCTGGCCAGGTGCTCCAGATGCTAAAAGCGCTACAAAAAACAGCAGTGATCCCAATTATTTGCTTTTAAACATTTTGTCCTTAGTAGTGAGGCAAAGAAATGATGAATTTACTAGCAGTGCTGCTGGGATGGTAAACCTTACAAAAACGGAGAAACACAAGTGGAGCTGTTATTCATTCAAATTATAGGATTCCTGCTCTTGAACTGAAAGGGATTATTGTTAATTAAGAGTCATTAGCAAATTTCTTTTTTCTAAATGTCACCAAATACCAATCTGTTTTGCATAGTGAACCGATTTTAACCAAAGTTGTAAACTTACACTTTTTTGCAAAGAGTAAGAGAGCTGCCAACGAGCAGTATTTAAGGCCTTTATTGGACGGTGGCACGCATAGGGGATTTCGGGCACAGCAGCAACATTGCGTAACAATATTTGCACAGTCTTGGCATCTCTACAGATGTTGCAACATGTAACAGATGATATGCCTGGATATTTGTGAGTAAACATGGAGGAGGCTTGGATATTCCAGCACCATCCTCTCCTCTTGGAGAATTCCTTTAGGACTCAGAGTCTCAAGGAACAGAACATGATCTGACATTGTCCCATATAGATCTGTGGTCATGTCTAGAGGGAAGGAGGATGGCTTGGCTTGTAAATGCTCAGTGAGGAGTGGAGGCTCTTTATTAGACAGGCTGTGACAGTACAATTCGAGAAATGAGAAGCAAATTTACTCTGTATGACACCTACATCCTGGAAACAATGTCAGCCTTCGGTTCAGAGGAATAATTAGCAGTCAAATATTACATAAAAACTGCTATGCCGACCGCCAAATGTTAGGAGCAAAGGTAGGTCACAGGATGATGTGAGGTGTCACCTGACGAGTGATGAGTCACAGAAGCTTTGTGGATTGTGAAACGGTCGACTTGGTTGACGTTAGTCCTGTTTTTCCTCCCTTGTGCTGCTAATCACATTTGTATGAAAATAAAATGCATACTCCTGCCAAAATGCATGAGAATGAGTATTCCTCTGTGAGGTAATTCATGGGTGATGGTACCATAACCCCGGTGAACCAGTTAATGTGGGTAAACACTGTGCAAAAAAAAGAGTGCAACTGTGGATTCATCTGTGGGAGTTGGCTGGCAGACTGGCTATATAAAACACAGGGGGCAGACCTTGTATAACATTAGTGATTTAGTGGTCTGCAGATCTCACGCTTTGTGTTGATTTGGCTGCAAATTTTTTTCCCCCTTTTCCTGAAGCTCCACAAAAGGGTCTCACACGAAAACAGAATTTTCTGGATGTGTTATTGCATTTGTCAGGCACAATTGTTTAACTTGGATGGAGAGGAGGTGCAATCAGAGCTGTCATAAACTGATGGAGTCCCCCCTCTCTTGGCTCCATTAGTAATTTGTTAGAGAAGTAATTAAGTCCTTACACAGTAAGCACATCAGCTCAGATGCTGCAGAGTGTGTGTGAGGACCCTTCGCTTCACTCAGGCGCCACTCTTGTTCGTTGTCCCTCATTGATTTAAATTGAAAATATTACAGCTCAGTATTAAGTGCTTGTTTGAATAGTGGCCATAAAAGCTCAGAAATGTATTTATTGATTCAAAACAACACATAAATGATCAACATGTTGGACATAAAATCTTATGATTTTGGCCAACTCACCAAATGAGTTTTCAGTGCTGTTTTCATGATTTTAGTTCGAACCGTTCTCCAAAAAAGATGAGTTACTCCTGTTTGTGCACTACTGTGTGGGACTGAGCCTTTTCGTTTTCATTTGAGAGTAAAGCAACTGTGACTCTGCATGGGCCTGCGGTGAATAAATGTTTTTGTGTTCGGTCTGTCCAAATTCAACTACATAGAATCCACTTCATCACCAGATAATGATTTTCACTGGCTATGCAGAAATATTGTTTTTGGTGAAATCTGAGAGACATTGTACCTTTGGGCTTTTAGTTTTTTACATTTGCATTTAAACCAAAGAATCATAACTGTTTGTTCGACAAGTTTAAGAAATGCTAGAGGGAAATAAACACAGACCTTAAGTTATTACTCCATGGCAGTAGACAAACATGGTGGCGCCATAAGCCCTGCTGTTGTCAACTGCATAGTGAACACTGTCCAGCCCTTGGCACGTGTTCACTCAGTTTCTAGGATGTTCAGAGATTCTCAACACACAAGTTCATAATAAACATCCTCCAGCATAACTACACTCCCACAGATATACAAAACCAAATACTTTTGAGTGCTGCTTAAACAATAGCCATCTGACTCTAGACACAATGTCCATTTCCACTTTGTGACAGCTCCTCATGTCCTTGTGGGCCATTACTGGGCCCTTGACAATGTTTAACTCATTATGCCAGAAGTGATTTCAAGGTGATTTATGTGACAGAAATTAATGTCACTTGACTGTCGTAAGTGCTCTCACTGTCTATACATGTGCTGCATTTTTAAAATCCGCAGCAGAACAGCAGCTCTTATCTCTCCTGGATGGGTTATGTGCAGACATTAACCACACCATGATGGATGTCTGTATTTAGAGAGCAATTATACTCTTAAAATGTGTGACAGGTGTGAATCCTAATGTGAGGCAATGGGGGAACATTTATGTGTGTTTAGTGGGACAAAGGCGTGAGTAGCTGAAATTAAAAAGACTAAGAGTCTACAGCCTCGCTACCATCTCCCTATCTCTATGCTAATGTCAGGTATAAGGTAAGAATGTCCATCTTAATTTTGCGTATAAGCATGCTAAATTAACTTATTTAACAAGCACTAAACACAAAGTCCAGCTGAGGCTGATGGGACTGTTAGGGTAGAAGTACTGGATGAATTAAAATTCTGACCTGTTGGTTGCACTGGAGGAAAAGTTAAGCGATCATCAAAGTTATTACAATTAATCCTGAGGAGGACGTGAAAGTCTGCACAATAATTCATGGCAATTGATCCAACCGTTGTTCAGATATATAGTCTGGACCAGAGTGGTAGACCACGCGACTGACCGCTTGACATGGCCAAAAACAATTAGCCTCCAAATGTTTAGATGTGTTATTTTGTATTATTAAATTTGATTATTATTTGATGGCCACTTGTGGTACATGCTGACTGTGCATATATTTTCAGTATGGCTAAACATAGCATTATGTTAGCATTTATGAATGATTCTGGACTGGATGTGCATGGTTTACTCGTTTTGCCTGCATTAAAAACCACACAACCACACCCGCAAGTTCTGATCCAGCACACATCCTGTATCCTCTATTCTCATCTCTCAGGAATTCATGCTTTAAAAAGAAAAGAAAAAAAATTGTTTAGCCAAGCAGAGGCACTTCAACGTGCGACATCCGATGATGACAGATGTCTGACATGCGTTTATTTGAGGAATAGTATAACCAATTAATCATGTTTTCTCTGCATTCTCATTTCAGAGAGGAAGAATAAGGGAGACCAACAAGATGACACAAACAGCAGAGAGAGGGAGAACGCACGTGGGCGAGGACGAGAAGGCAAAGATGGCAGTAGAGGAGGAGGAGGAGGAGGAGGAGGAGGAGGTGGTGGTGGTGGTGGGAAGAGGAGAAAAGGCCAGAGCAGGACAACCACTGCTCCTAGCATCACAACCAGCTCCGTCAGCTAAACTTCAGTGCCTGCTGGGTGGGGCTGAGAGAAAAGCAGAGACAGCGCCTCACCCAGCGGTGCCAGCCATAGACAACGTGATGAAGGAATGGATTAATGCTGCTAATGCGTTGTAGAAGATGCAAAGAGAACTGGAGGATTGCTGCAACACAAAAGGCTTTCCAGAGCTTTTTGAATAGATTAACCTATCTGAAAGAGACTGGTGTTTTAGTGGTACTCTGAAAGACTTGTTGATTTTCATTCCAGCGTGAGGGATCACTGTTGGAGAAGCAAAGCCACGGTGAAGATTGTGGTTCAGCAACCTATGTCACTTGTTGAACTCAGAACAGATCCTGTGTTTCAAATGCAGCATTAAAGCTGGAAGTCTGATAATGAATGAAGGGCCTCTCCAGTCCCCTCTGGTTTATGATGTATTTAGTTGGAGTCCGATTTTAATCACAATCTGTTCTTCATTTGTTTCGTGTTTGCGAGAGGTGGCAGATGGATTTTCTCAACAGCCGCTGTACGTGATGTAAAGACGGTGAATAGTATTAAGTCTTTGTACCTTTATTTCCTATTGTGAGATGAAACAAAAAGAAAAGGCACTGGAAATCATTTGTGGTTGTTGAGGACAGAAGGTCTTCTATATATTATTTTGATGAAGGAGTCTATTAAAAAACAGGCCTGAGAGAAGATGTAGAGGGGGATTACTGGGAGCTAAGCTCACGTCCTTCTCTGGTGTCTTGACACAGACTTTTGCCATTTCATAGCATAGTTGTTTGTTTGGAATTATATGTTGATGTTCGTATCAGAAAATGAGGAATTAAAAACACAAATATTTGCATGGTACAAGGTTGCATGTGCGTGCCATTGTGCATGCAAGCGTGTGTGTGTGTGCGCGTGTGTTTGTCTCTACCCAAAGTCTGGGTGTTTGTGTACTTAGTATGCATTTCTGCACGGAATCAAGTTGTTTGTCGACGGAACTTAGTTGTTTGTACATGTGTGTTTACATTTGCACATATGTGTTAATATTGGTCTCATAGATTGAAGAAATAGGGTCTGGATATCAAGAGGAAACAAAATGTAAATGCACAGTGATATATCGAATATGCAGTAACTACAAGCCACTGATTATTATATAAGCCATCAAATCATCAGCTGCTCAGTAATCATGTATGTTTGCAACAGGGTCTGAAGATTTTGCACAACTTTAATGTTTCCTACTGCTCAAGTTTCAGAACAATCATAGCATTTTACACATTTTACACATTTATACTCCTGCCAGCTTCATAACATCGCAGATACAGATTTTTTTTTTATTTTTTTTATTCCTAGAATGTTTTCCATGGGTCTGTTTGCTTTTCACAAGATATTAGTTTCAGGAGAAGTTACACGCTACATTATTCATTCATACTATGGATTGTGATACTGAATATGTCAAACTGTGTTTATCATCAAACGTAAGAAGTATTAATATCATCATGTATAGCTTATTCTGTGAAAGCCTAAATAAAGTTCAGATGAAGCTGATGACACTTCAGTCATACACTGATTTTGCAATTAGTCTCTTTGATTTCACTTGAAATGACTTTCATGATTTTCTCTGCAATTGATCCACCTCTTCATTTCTGTGGTTCACACTCCTACATGCCATACACATAAGGACACATTTTCACGAAGACTTGGCTACACTGTAAGCTTACAATATGATTTATGCTTATTATTTTTTTCTTTTAACAACTTGGGTTTTATTTTCACTGCTTTTGGACATTATTTCTATTTGTTATGGATACATTGTACTTACTAAGTTACTTGGTGAGATAGGGAAACCCAACTAGGCCCAAGTGGCAAGAAACACAAGTAGTTTCCGTCATACAGGTTTTAAATTTACCTGCATGTTACAAATTTATTTGGAAGGACAAAACAAAGGCAATTGTAAAATTACAGCCCAAACGATCCATTTTAAACTTCTATCACAATGTGATTCAATTTTGACCTCCTCTACTTATTATATTTAAGCTCATACACAGTTTCCTGCAAAACAAAGAATTATCCCTCACATCTTGGGTCAGTTTAAAACAGAAAAAGTAAACAAAGTGGTAGATAATCTGGCTAAACTGCAGGTATGTTAACAACTGGTCTTTCAGTCCTAGTGCTTGTGCTGCTTGTGTTGCCTTGTTTTCAGATCTCAGCAATTACTTCAGTGAGTACAGTTACATAACATGATGGCCAAAACAACACGAATATTACTGTTATTATTATAAAAATAACACTAATCATATACTCATTTTACAGATGAAGCAAATACATGACAAGGAAGGTCAGTCTTGATCAGTTTGTTTTCACAGTAGATGTACCTTCATAATTTCATGGGGAAGTTTGAATTCTTATTCTCTGACCTGAATTTAATCAAAACCACAAAGAATAAGAAAATAATTCTGCTGAGTGTATGATGCTATCTACCTCCACGTACCTTTAGTGGTTATGGTACGGTCTTCTCCTAGGCAACAGGAGACCATCTTGGGAGGTGGACGAGCTTAGATGGTGTGATGGTCCCGATCACTGGCCAAATGCTGGCGCCTGGGCAGGGGTCGTAAAAGCAGAGACAGAAATAAAAACTAATGGTGTGTCATAGCCAGAAGGGAGGGGGTATACCATGCCTTGGCCCTACAACAAAACAGCTGTTTCTCATTACTAAAGGGGAGGGCAGGGGGAATGGTAGAGTATGCACCGTAAATTACACATTCATCGCTCTTCCTGACCATAAATTCTTACCCTGGCTCCAATGGACGGAGCTCTCCCTCACCTCCCACTCCCTCTTTTTTTCCACTCTCTTGTTCCCCACTCCCGTGTTTTCCTAGAGAAATGAATGGTAAATCCTTGGAGTATATGGGTGCCCTTGATTTGCCAAGATGCTTAGCACTGAATGATTTCATTACTTTAGTTTGGCCTTTAGGCCAGGCCCCAGGGAGTGCATCACGTCAATAGGGAACACCCATGCCCATGCTTGACTTAAACACACAATCTCTGATCCAAATGTAAATAATAGGGTACCACCACTATACCAAACCTCTGAATGTGAACCTGATATCACTGTCAAACTGACTGACAGGTCTTTGAATACGAAGATTGCCACTGGAATACAACTAAACCTACTAGCTTTTTCATCTGCGTCTCATAGTCTTCATCTCAGAATGGAGCTGGATCAGGTGTTTTCATCTCACTAAAGTGTGCAACAAATTGCAAGTTGACCTGTGATTGGATATTATCAAGTCTACCAAAAGAGAACTTTGTCCATGTCCAAGACTAAAGTAATTGTTTCATAGAAAAGAGATGTGCCACAAAAAAAAACTAAGTTGAAAACACAGTAACCATCCCATTTTGTTACATATACAACGCCAAGGGTCAAGAATGAACTCTTCTATGCTCTTGTATACAGTCTGTTGGTAACAGTGATGCTTTTAAACAGTAAACGTAAGAGAGAAATAGTCCTACATTTGACTTTAGTGATCATTTCAGATGCTGATTTTGTTGAGCAAAGTATAATTTACAACTTCAGCTGCAACATTGCCTCCCAGAAATGATGTAGTTCTTCCTCAGGATAACTGACAGATGTCAATAAAGTTTCTTAAAGAGGCAATTTCCTTTCATCCATCCATCCATCCATCCATTATATATACAGCTTATCCTTATAGGGTCTCGGGGGGCATGAGCCAATCCCAGCTGACATTGGGCAAGGGCTGCGTACATGCTGGACGGGTCGCCTGTCCATCACAGAGCCGACATTCAAAGACAAACAACCAGTCACACTAACATTCACACCTGTGGACACTATGTGGCTGCAAACTCCATACAGAAAAGCCCCAGCCCCCAGGGTTCGAACCAAGATCCTTCTTGCTGTGAGGCGACAACGCTAACCACATATTGAAAATACTGAAATCTGCCCACAGCAAGGTTTGCACATTATCTAAAGAAAGAGGGGCATGGTTCTGGAAAGACATACTTCTGCTGAGATTTTTAAATGAAATTGTTCAGTGCTGTGAAGATCATATAAGAAATGTAATCAATCACCATTGACCTGTATTAGAATACTAGTAAATACCCCCACAAGGTGTGAATGGAAAACTGTTATTTTTGTGTGACCTGACCATTCAAACTCTTACTCTGGTATCTATTCATTATTAGACTGATGTCTCACCCGAAACAAGTGTGAAATCACTTTTAGCCTACAACAAAGTTTCCTTTGCCATGTTCTTCAGTTCCATTATAACGTACAGCATCAATGACATAACTGTTGCAGAAAACTCCCCAAGATATCCTGTCATCATCTGGGTGAATGAGAGGTCAGGGGTACATGAGGCCACTGGAGTCTCCAACTGAGTCACCAGTGACTGCCAGCAGTATCCACTGGACTCTCTCCTCTCACTAGTGGCTTCCAGCTCTTTAAAGATCAGCAATCCCACTGATCCATGATAATTTCCATCTCTAAAAGCTCCACAACCGTCCTCACTTTATGGCTCAAGATCTGAGAGGCTGAATCTGGAAATCTACAAAGAGAAAATGTCCTCTTCGATTCTAAAATATTCCAAAGCATTGTACATCAACACTGACAGCCTGACATGTCTGATCAGCAACAGATATCTATAAAAGCAGGGCTGCTAAATCAAAATAACAAAACTATTTCATGTTATGGGGAAGCCAACACTCTTTGTGAAAAGAGAAAATCTACATCTGATGACAGTAAAAAAGACACAAGGCGCTTGAAATGGAAATCAGAACCGAGGCGTGAGGAGCCGGGGACCTTTGCGGTAAACTTGAGATTTCTCAGAGAGAATCAAGGATGTATCAAACAAATCTTTTGTAATAAGCAAGTGGAAAACCCAGGGAATGCATTGGACAAGCATCAAACTTAAAGGGATTTAGTTTCTATTAACAAAGCTTAATTTAACCCAAATGTGTCTTAGGCTAAGAAAAAGGTCAGAAACTCCTGATACAGTGGAGGAAAAGTTTAGTAGATGCATGTAGAATGGCAGGTGGGATACTTGATATGTACTGCCCCCTTTTGGAAATAATTGGTACCACATGGGAAAAAGCTATGTCTATAGTGCATTCTGTAGAGAGTAATAGCAGAAGAGAAAAGGAGACTGTCTTTTCTTTTCTTTTTTTAAACATACCAAAATGTATTTTATTTTATTTATAATAATTTTCGTCTGTGAAAAGATGTCTAACTTTGCTGAATACCTGCATAAACCAGGGTATAATGTCATTCTAGTCTTAACAAAAGAAAAAGAAAAAAAATATATTTTATTTGAATTTTTCAAAATGAAAACCTGCATTCTGTTCAGCAACTCTGGGACAGACTGAAAACCACTACGCTTGATAGCAAATTGCAGCTGAATGTCAATTTGTATTCTATGAACAGACACTAGGAAGAAATAAACATTACATATTAAAGAATAATCAAATAACATAGTAGTAAAACAGATTGTAAAACATCACTCCTCTCAGTCTCACATTCAAGTCCTTGAATCTAACCCAGTGATCATGACTTTAAATCAGCGATGTTATGACAGTAATGGTTGGGGGTGCAGACTGAGGAAGGGTGTTTGGTGACTTCATTTTTATACACACCTTGCAGATTATCTCATGGTGCACTTATAATTGTATACGATTGCAATGAAAAAAATAACCACAAGAGGGGGCCATTAACACATAAAATCCATATCCTACAAATTGGCCATCAGTTACTAATGTGCAAAAAGAGGCATTATCATCTGAAATCGTGGCTTGGTTTGCTGTATTATTCGTGAGATCATAGTAATGTTAATGTGCAATTTGGCAATCCAAATAAGTAATAAATAGCTTTCCTTTGTTTTCCAGAGGGTTGTCAAAAGAGTTTGGAAAGTTTTTGGACAGTGAGAGAGAGACACAGAGCCAAAAGAAAAGAGAAAGACAATAAGAGAGGGGATAATGATGAATTCAAACCATAACAGTCTTGCAGTGTTGCAGTCCATCACTGTATTGAAGAAGTCTCACATTCAAGACAAGTAATTTTAATGATGTGACCCATATGTCATGATTAATCTCTGTTTATATTTTTAAAATAATCATTTTCCTCCCTCTTTTCCAGTACACCAAAACAAAGTAGTCACAAATAGAAATCAGTCACAATAAGCTCTTTTTGCTACATGTTTTTCTGCCTGTGTACTTACACTTCTACTTGTGTCCTTGTTGAACTTCTGATGATAGATGTGTGACTTTCATTTTCTGCCCTTAACTTTCCATCTACACATTCCTTCAGAAGTTCCTTGATGTGGTTATTGTGATTCAATTTTGTGATAAAAAATACTTTGTGTTAGGCAGTTGGCAATGTGAACAAGATAATGCAGAAATGGATGAAATATTTTCATGTAACGCTAAATATTAATTTCACAATATTTACAACATCAAATAAATAGATCGAATCAAAAAGATAATCACTAGATATCCAAGCTTTATTTCCTTGCTTTTCTCCTTCATTCCAGTACAAT